AAATCCGTAGCGACGGCTCCGGTTCGGCTGCGGTTCGCCCAGTTGCACGGTAAACAGGTGGGTCAACGCCACATGTGAAATGTCTTGTACCATCATGCGGTACAAACAATCACTGGAATGCTGATGGTTCAATCGATGTCCCTTGTGAAAATCCCTCAATCGAATGAACTTTCCCCAACAGGTGGGGAAGGTTTCGATCCGGATCAGGATATGAAATTTAGGAGAACTGTGCAGTGAAGCTTCTTGACTCCATTGATCTGATATCGCCTATTCTGGCTGCAACGACCGCGGAGGACTTGCGGACCAAATTGTCATCGGCGGCAAAGATATGTGGATTCAACATGTTTGTTGCCGGTGTTGAAATGAAAGATCTCGATGGAGTGCCGAGCCACCATTTGATCAGCGGATATCCCGAAGAATGGCAACGCATTTACGCGGAATGCGACTATATCCGCACAGATCCTACCGTGGCACATTGCCAGACCAGTCTGGAGCCCCTGGTCTGGACCGAAAAGGCCTTTTCACGGTACAAGGGCATGCACCTGTGGGAGGAGGCCAGGTCCTATGGGCTGGCTCATGGCATCAGTGTGGCCTTGCATGATGAGGCTCACACCAAGAGCATGCTTAGCCTGGTGCGCGACAAACCCGTTGATCTGGATGCGAGGGAGTGTCGTCAGCTGATCTCCTGCGTACAGGTACTCGCTGGATGTGCACATTTTGTGGCGGTTAAGCTGGCCAAAGAAGTTTTGCGACCCGTACAAACACTCCCCAGACTCACACGCCAGGAAGTTGAATGTCTCAAGTGGGTGTCCAACGGCAAGACCTCTTGGGAGATCGCCCGCATCATGACCATCTCGGAGCCCACGGTGGCCTTCCACATTCGCAACGGCATACAAAAACTCGGCGCCAGCAATCGACCACAGGCGCTGGCCATTGCCATCAGGCTAGGGTTGATCTGAGAAGACCTTAGAAGATCTGATTCGTTTGCATAAACATCCTTTACACCTTGCGGAACCATACCAGCGCGAATAGAATATGAGCCACAACGAGGCGCATCGCGCCAGAAAGGAGTGGGTATGTTGATCAAGTTGGGGCTGGTGGTGTTGACCCTGCGCAGGACTTTTTGGACTCAGGGTCTGGGCTACCTGACGGCGGCCGTGTTCATGGTCTTGACAGGACTTCCTCTGTGGCTGGTCTGCACCTTGGTGACTCTGCATTTGGTCATGAGGGACCACTTGCAAAAGCAATACTTGGAAGCCGAAATGGGTGATGCACGGGGCAACACCATGACCCACGGTACCTTCAGCAATGCCGAACTCGACCATGCATTCATGGATTTCGACAAGAAAGAGTTGAGTACCGGACGTGAGACCAGCGTTCGGACGATGCTCGCCACGCCAGTTACTCCGGGGATTCTTGCCGGCGCGCTCAGGCGACCCAACCATCAACGCACAGCGTATCTCAAATGCGTGCAAAGAGCCTGCTGAAACGGACAGTTGTCACGCTGGGACTGGCCCTAGGGCTGGGCTCCAGTGCGCAGGCCTCGGTTGATGTATGCATCGCTGCGGCCTCGCAGTACCACAGTGTGAATGCGAACATTTTGAAAGCCATCTTGCTGGTTGAATCAGGAGGAAGACCACAGACAATCACACACAACAAAAACCAGACCCTCGATGTGGGCATTGCCGGCATCAACTCCATCCACTTCCGGGAACTGAGCAATTTTGGTATCACGCCGCAAGCCTTGATGAATCCTTGCGTGAGCATCTACGTTGCAGCCTGGAAACTAAGTCAACAAATGGCTCAACATGGCAACAACTGGTATGGCGTTGCCGCCTATCACAGTCGTACGCCCTATTTCAACCGTCGCTATCAGGCCTTGCTGTACAACCAGTTGGTTCGACAAGGCATTATCAAGGGTAGTCTTCTCAGAATTCCGCCCTTGAATCCTTAATCTGTAACAAGCTCTTTTATTCCATCTAAGGAGAAAATCATGTCCAATATGAGTGAAATCGCCAACTTTGGCGCACCTGTCGTCACTGAAAGCTGCATTGGTCCACGAAATCAGCGACGTGTTCTTGTTTCTTTTGCGGATCGTGTGCAAAATGCCCAGACTCAAGATGAGATCGTGAGCCTCTTCAAGGAACAACTGGACAACGCCGAAAGACTCATGACCCGGGCACGGGCAATGTCGGACGGTGGTGCGCCGTTTGAATTCGTGCTGGCCGTCAATATCCTGACCCAGATGGGGATTTATGCGGACTCTACGGTCACCATCTATCGCGATGCATGCGAGAAGGATGCTGTCCTCAAGGACATCCCGGACTTGACCAGCGTGGTTGACAAACTGTGCGGCATGTTTTCGTTGACCTCAGGCCTGCTTCGTCCGCCGTTGGATCTCTATGACACGCTCTGGTCCAACAGGACCATCTCGGTCTTTCCTACTTCAGTAAGGCTTTGACGCCTAAATCCTGATTATTGATCCGGCCCTTTGAAGTCATCATCTTTTCCTTATCTTTCCCAGAGCGATAGCGAGAAAAACTTCAAAGTTCAAAGGGCCGGATCAATAACTTCAACAAAAAAGGGCACCGAAGTGCCCTTTTTTGTGCTCGAAATTTCCGCTCAGATGCGGAACTCCTCAACACTCTTGCCCGAAGCAAGCAACTCGCGCACCCACTCGGGCTTGCGGCCAGGGCCACCGGCCCAGAGTTCACCATTGGGGCCGCGGTACTTGGCTGGCGCCGTCGACTTGGATTTGCTGCCGACGCGTTTGCCGGTGCCAGCGCCGCCCAGATCAGCCACGGTAATGCCGTGCTCTTTCATTTTGGCCTTGATATCGGCGACGACTGCAGCCATCTCTGTCTTGCGGGTATCTTCCGCTTGCGCAAACAGGGCTTGAGCCTGAGCCATCAGTTCTTGGTACGATGCCATGATTTTGTCCTTCACAATAGTTCAAAGATGTTAAAAAACCGGTCTTGATTGGAGGTTGCCCTGCAATGCCAATCATAAACGGGAAATCCTTTCCATCCAAACACTATGCAAAATTATTGTGCATCCGGTCGGGAGGATCGCAACCACTCCCGCATGGCGTCGAGGTTGTCTGCGTCTATTCTGCCACCAAGGCTTCCTGTCTCATTGATCCAGTGCAACGCTCCTTTGTTCTCAGTCAGAAACATCACCCGACCATAAAATGGTGAGAAGCGCTTGGCTTTGTTGGCAGCATCCTTGGTACTTTCCTTGGTTTCGATTAACCTCAACAAAGGTTCATCACCCCTGAAGTGCTCCAGAAATACGATGAAATCAGGATAAAAGTAGTTTTTGTGTTCACCGCGTACCAACTGCACCGAGTAGGGTTTGCGGTCTGGGTTGCGATGCCACCATTTGATGAAAGTGGCCCGGTCCAGGGACTTCGCAAAT